GACCTTCAGTCAAGTGCTTCTGATTGTTCTTCATTGTCCCCATTGGAGGCTCATGTGTGGGGCTGAATCCATCGTCATTCTACTGGCACCTTAGGACCAGGTCTCTCTTGCTATATTACTCATGGATTTGGTGTAACTGAGATCCTCACATCGTTTTATTGTGTTTTTCTCTGTGTTCCCCAGAACTTCATGCACTAAACATTCCAATGCAGGTCCATGTTCCCTTTGTTTTTTTCTCAGCAATGGCATCCTTCACGCTGTGGCTGTTCCTGGTGGCTGTGTGGCTTCCGTTCTTTCTTGCAAATGGACAGGTATGATCAAAGTTAAAAATCTCTTCAGAACAATTCAAGCAGCTTTAAGGGATCACTAGCTACGGAGTCAATTTTTGAAAGCAAAGAAGGCTGAAGTGTCTGGTATGTCACAAAGTACTCCCTAGTTGCTCAAAGTACTTAATTAAGTCAAAGGCTGTGGCAATCAATATGGTAGCTTCTAGCCACGTGTGGATATTGAACACTGGATATATGGACAGTCTGAGTTGAGATCTGCATAAATACAATGCAAAGCATACCTAAAAGATTTGGGTAAGAAAAAGGAGGTTAAAAAATCTCAGTAATTTTATTACTGATTGCATGATAAAAACAATATTTTGATTATATTAAAGATTATATTATATATATTGATTTAATATTTATTTCCTTAAGTGGCCACCAAAAAATTAAAATTATGTGTAATGCCTTAGTTGTATTTCTGTTGACAGCACTGGTCTATGGGTTTAAAAGCTAATGAAACTTCTCCTGCCCCAAGATCTTTTCTGATTTACTTTTTTTTTTTTAAGGAGCATTTTTTTCTGTGTATTTTCCCCAAGTGTTTTGTGGGGGATGGGGGAGGGAGATAATTCGATTATTTATTTACTTATTTATGTATGTATGTATGTATGTATTTATTTATTTTTAGAGGAGGTCCTGGGGCTTGAACCCAGGGCCTGCAGCATGCTAAGCATGTGCTCTACCACTTGGGCTGTACCTTCCCCATCAATTTACTTTCATTTAATCCATTTCAGTGTGATTCCACCCAGAAAATTAACAATACACTTATATAATCTCAAATTAGAAAACTTCCTCATTTGGTTGTTACTGTGTGAGAATAATTACACTTATTGTTTCAATTTTTTTTTCAAAAGACAGTATTTTCTAAAGATATTAACTATTTGGGTTTTTCTCATAATCTTACAATTAGTATATGGAAGATAAGATATTCTAATTATTTCCAATATGCTGCTTCACTTTAATAATCCCAGGAACATGGACGCAGAATGAGCCAGTGGCAATAAAATGTGGTCAGACCTATGTTACAGCCTTTGCAGACCTTGAGGGACTCAGTATTGAAGAAGGAGAGAATAAATTATCCTAGATTGTCAGGGGAAAAATCAGTAAGAGACCCTGTTTAAGACTTACACTTCAAAATCTTACTCAAGTTCATATAACATCAGACTCTTCTGTAAATTTAGGTCATCAAATTGCTTAAACCTGGTGGGAATTATTTACACACCCTACTCCACCTCCAGGTTTAGGACCTGTCACCCCCAACACACACACATACACACACGTGCGCACACACACACACACACAAAGATACACCAAAAGCATCAGTCACATTTCTGTTCCTGGAAAGGACAAAGTCAGCAAGAGTTCATTAACTGGAAGGCTTTGCTCCCTCTAAATTGCCTCAGAGATTTGTTTAATGTCGTAAAACTGTCTTTTGAGTGACCCCATAAATCTGCTGTATAATAGATGGGATCACTTACTGAAGTATTGAATGCACTTGGACTAGGCGTCAACATTCTTGCTCTAAACAGACACCATGTCAGAACAAAGTTCCCCTTAAAGTCTAAAAGGAGTCACCTGCCTGTGTTGTTAGCATCTCTTTCTGCAGCCTGGTTCAATATGAATGAGCCTGACTTGGTGGTTCCTATCTTGTAACTGTCATTATGTTTCCAATCATATGTCTAGAAAAATCACATGCAGATGCCTCTTGATACTAGACATTGGTACCTCTGGCCCTAGGGGTGTTTTTAATCATCATGCCATGAATTACATTCCCACCCTCAAAGTGTAACACCATCTCTTTCTCATTCGAAAGTCATAGTTTGGGCTCAGATTTTCTGGCAGTGCTTAACAACTAATATCAGCTTGAACTGAATGCTTTTCAAAGTAATCTTTGTTCTCTTGAATGAACTTATTCATTCTTATATGCACGTCTCAAATCTTTGAAAAAATAATTCTAATTTGACTTTCCCTTAGGATCCAGCTTTTGGCACTTTGTCAACCGCCCACAAGGAAGTCCAAATCAAGATTGTAGACAAACACAATGACCTAAGGAGGACGGTCTCTCCACCTGCCAGTAACATGCTCAAAATGGTAAGAAGCAGGAACACCAGGAAAGTGGCTTGAGCCCGCTGCAATAAGGGCTGTCACCTGGGAAGTGACATTTCTCAACTTTGGGGTTTAGGAAGTTCTGTCTCTGTTTGGTTATTTCATTTGAGCTGTGTTATGGACAGGGAAGAAACCCTTTTTTAAAAAATTCCACATTCTATGTTAGTTTATAAATTGTATTTCCTCCCTCTGTTCAAAGTTCTATTTGCTAGAGAAGTAGGATCTATCAGAATCTATTCTTTGTCATGCCTATTTCAGAGTTTACCATCTTTGTTAAGGGGAATTTCTCCTCCTAGAAGAAAAAAAAATGCAATCTATATGCATATATATTCTAAATGCATATATATATATACACACATATACATGTATATTCTAAATGTGCATATATACATATATACACGTATATACATACACACACACACACACACACATACATATATATATATATGTTCTGTATAGAATTTGGGGTGTCCGTGGAGCCCTCGGAGCCTCTCTATAAACCCTGGGATAAGACCCTGGCCCTGAGGTTAGTGTGCCCTCTGACCCTAACAAATTGACTTTTAGATACTTTCACTGGCCTTTCCTGTTGATTTGGATCCAAAACAACTTTCCAGTAAGTTCTCTGGGCTGCGTGTGGCTCTTCTTCCCAGTCCCTCTGTGCAGTCATACCTCCAATATTATCACCACCCTCATCATTAACATCCCTTCCCACAGGGCGCCACTTTGGGACCTAGACCTTTTCTAGGAGATATGTTACTAGCAGGGGACATCTAAATTTTGTTGACTTTAAGGAAGAGAGGACAAAAATATCTTACCACTGCAAATGTCACCCCCACTTCCCTCAAAATGGCCAAACATCCTCTGAGGGGTCCCCTGTCATAACCTCAGAAGGGCCTGTGCAAGTGAGGGGTCCCAAGCTTAAGCTTTCTGGGCTCCCTAGGACGGGGCAGGAATTCTTAAATTTGCTTTATAATCATTCCGTAACTTGTCCAGTTCACAGGGCTCTGTAAGTTGTAAAGGCAGAATTACAATGAAATCTCTGGACATCAGGGAGAGGCCATTATGTCTTTCTGCTCACTCTGTCTCCTAACCTAGGATCAAGAAGGCCTTTCCCCTTCAGGATCCGTGCCAGGCCATTTAGGGTCAATAAGAGCCCACTTTTTAGCCACATGTCTCCCAAATGTATTCACTGGGGGGAAAAAAAACAAAGCAACTGGGAGTGAAGTATGTCAGCTCCATATTATAGGAAAAATAATCTCAGTACCTCCACTTGTTGATCAATATTCAGAGTAAGACTATTACTAAAAATCTTTAGGTGTGGTTTGTATGATGTCATAAATAGACCATTAACTATCTTAGATTTTTCAATTAGGACAGACATACTATGTATATTTCTCTGTGGAGCAGAAACGGCACACCAAGAAAGCTATCTTTGATCATCGCGATAATCAGAAGATGCATGTACAGGAATTTTATAACGACGTAACTCAATCTACCAGTCTCGTTATAAAGCTTACGCTCCTTTGTAGTTTGAGCACATATCTTTTTTTTTTCCTCTTCTTGTTTTAGCAATGGGACAGCAAAGCAGCCGCAAACGCCCAAAACTGGGCAAATCAGTGCCTGTACAAACACAGTAAGGCCAAGGACAGAACAATCGGTATGTGATTTAACATGTATTTGTTGAGTAAATGAACAAGTAAGAAAATATGGACCATTTCTGATGTGCATTAAGAAATCTTTGTGAATAAACGTTGCTTCTAATGCCGCCTTTTCAAGTTAAAGTTTATTTCCGTGGATGACAGAACTGAGAAGCACCACCTTGTACTTAATTTACAGAAACTGTCTCACACAGTATCTTATTTGTGCCTCTTAACCATCTCCTAAGCAAGGCTGTCATGTGCCATCCCTTTCTCTATTTTTTTTTTGTCTTTTTCTATTATCGAAGTATAGTCAGTTTACAATGCTGTGTCAATTTCTGGTGCACAGCATCATGTTTCAGTCATACACATACATACATAGATTCCTTTTCATATCCTTTTTCATTATAAGGTACTACAAGAAGTTGAGTATAGTTCCCTGTGTTACACAGTAGAAACGTATTTTATATATAGTAGTTAGTATCTGCTAATCTCGAATTCCTGATTTATCCCTTCCCACTCCCTTCCCCCATGGTAACCATGAGTTAAACTGACTGGCAGGGGGAAAATGATTGTGTCTTAAAACGTATTTGTTTCTGTATTTATAAAATATGTTGAATTTTATCAAATCGTTTCTGAATTTTACTCAAAAATATTTAACATTAGCATCTATTCCTATAATTTTCTTTTTAATTTTTGATAACAGTCAGGTCTTTTGTCTATTCTGGGTGACTACAATACATGTAATACTCTATCTGACTCAAAAATGACCTTCGCATCAAGAACATAAACACAGTGAGATACAATATCATATATATGAAATTTAGATAAAATATTTACTTAAATTATTAAAAATGATAGGGGTGGGCAAGTCTAATTTGAAAGTAGTAAATAATTTACCTGTTTTAAAGTAGGACTGCATTGTTATTCGTATTTATACATATACATTTATATATATATTCATAGTTTTTATAATTTAATGAAGTTATAAAGAGGGATGTCTGTACTCAGTAGAAGATTGAAACAAATGGTCTTGAAGATCTCAGTCTACCGTTAAAATTTTAGCTTCTTTCTTTCCCTCTTAAAGGAGTTATCCAAGAGTAGTTTATACTCCCTCTAAGTAGCATATAGACGTTACATTTTAAGCCATCCAAATAGAAACACTAGGCTTGAAAAATATATCAAAATATTTCTGTGCTGCAAGGCACCTCTTTCTTTATTCTTTGAGAATCTGGCCTGTGATGTTCTTGTTTTTTTGGTTTTTGTCTTTGTTGACTAAGGGAGGACCTACAGTCTTTGAAAATACTCTCCCCCGTGGTGTCACCTGCTTCATGCCTGCAGCTTTTAATTAAAGGCTGAGTACTAGATTTTTTTTTTTGTTCAATGTCCACACCAAATAACAATCTCATTTATTTCATATATTAAAAAATCTCTGGTGAATGTGGGCAAGAGTAAGAGAGAAATGATGATGAGCTGGGCCTTTAGAAAGCTTACAATATAAAGCAAGAGCTACTGAGGCATACACTCAAGAGAAATGAAAAGTGTAGGGGGAAGATAGAGCTCAGTGGTAAAGCATATGCTTAGCATGCACGAGGTCCTGGGTTCAATCCCCAGTACCTCCATTAAAAATAAATAAGTAAATAAAAATCAAATTACTTCCCCCAAAGAACAAAAACAAACAAAATAAATAAGAAAAGCATAAATGAATGAATCTAGAGAGAGCAGATAGTTAAGAAAGAAGGCTTCATCTACTCAGAATTGTGCACGCTGAGGCCAGCCTCAAGGTACTAGGTACATCTGCTTACAAATGGTAAGAAACTCTCCTGTATTGATTCAGTTTGATACTATGAGCACTGTGTCTAAAGACCAGGGACTTTGCTTTATTTATTTGTTTGTTTTTTGCTTTCCCCATGCATGATCTTTTTCTTCTTAGGTACGAGGCAATGTGGTGAGAATCTCTTTATGTCAAGTAGCCCGACTTCCTGGTCAAATGCAATCCAAAGCTGGTATGATGAGATCAATGATTTTACCTATGGCGTAGGGCCAAAGCGTCCCCAAGCAGTAGTTGGACATCTTACCCAGGTAAGGGGAAGCCTGTTGGCATAAATGCCCTGAAAAAGAAATCCTCTCCAAATTCTGACGGATGCCAAAGTTGAACTGAGGGGGAGGTCTCAAATGGGTAAAGAGAAGTCTTGGCATTTTGTGGCTATTCCAGCTCTGAAATGCCATTTGTCAAAAGCCTATAGGCTCTTGGTAGGGAAATACACTTTGTATTTTTCTAACAGTCTAAATGGATACAACAGTGAATGTACATGGAAATGCAGCATTTTAAAAGATATTTTACTTTGATTCAATAATGTAGCTAAATATATCCATAAGGTATGTGGAAACAAAATATATCAGTAATATTCTTTTCAGCTTTGTATTTCCTACTATTTGGCTTTTTAAAAATATATTTTCTTCTTCTCTAATGCACTCTCATACCTTCACTAATGGGTATGTAGGTTGTTTGGTACTCATCTTTCCGTGTTGGATGTGGAATAGCCTACTGCCCCAATCAACGTATTCTGAAATACTTCTATGTTTGCCAGTATTGTCCTGCGTAAGTATATCCTTTCAAATTTGCTGTCAATAATGCCATCAGCAATTTAATATTTAAAATTTTTTCTATAATAGACCAATCAGACTTTTTTAAAATACCTATTTCAGTAGAGGGGAGGAGGGATGAAACTTAAGAAAAATTTTTTTAAATTTGAGACACAACCAGTTTCTTAGAAAGAAGACCAACTTCTCTGTTCCAAATACAATATTCTGAAGCTCTCTTTCCTCATGTCTGAAACGCTTTGTCTTCCCTCTCATTTGCCTTTTCTGAAGCTCAGGGTTACTCCATGGGTATATGTCATGTGCGCTTCTCTCGGTTGGGTGTTGTCAGTTCTCAATGAATTCACACACTAGAAAGCAAAAGCTTGATGCCTAGGTCATGGGTCGAGGAGAGGTGGCAAACGTGGAATGACATTTTAATAATTCCAGCTCTTTATACTCAAGTGTTTCTACACCTGCTTAACCCCAAATGCCTACATTACGCCAGTAAGACTTGATAAAATTTTGGATGTCAAAGGCTTTTCAAGAGACTCTTGATATTTTTCTGGTTGTCATGAAAATTAAGTATCTCAAGTCTTTGCTTCTTAGAATTTAACACCAAAACACTCTGAAGGAATCATCCGTTGAGATTTTGATGTATAGCAGGAAATACATCCCTCCCTCAAGCAATATGTTTGAATGAGTCACAGAAATTCCTATGGAGATGCTAAAGTTATAGTCACAATGTATCTGTTAGCTTTAATTCATTTTTCATGTTTGGAAGTCCCTACCACTGGAGTGAGAGGTTCCCCCCCCCCCCATAAACCAAGCTTCCTTTATGATTTATTTTGAGGCTGTAAATGGTCCAGGTGAGGTAGGCTTCCATTTTGAGAAGTATGACATTCAGAGTCATTTCCCATAAGCACCTACTGGGGTTTAGTGGGGAAAACGGAATGGTCCTGGAAGGACATATCCAAACTCACTGTCTGGCTGTGAGGGGGAGGCCTCTGGAATCAGGCACCTGCCATGAGAGCCTGAG